CATACATTTGGCACTCGTATGATGTGATATAGCATAAAATACTTTCACGCTTAAATCAGAGATAAGTATGTTTCTCGCTTTCAAACATATGAAGCCTTTTTGTTTCATCATCATTAGAATCTTTTGGGTGTTTTACAACTCGATCTTCACCCGTAGGGATAAATGGTCCCTCGATGACGACACACCACATATTTTTGTCAACTGATAGTAAATGTACGTTCATGATCGATTTCCAATAAGTATAATTTTCACCTTTGAAAATTGTTGCTCTATTATACGTTCCCTTTGGATCGTCATCGTCCGCCATAATCTCAAAACTTTTGGAGTCACTTAGATTTAATCAAAAGACCAACCCTTGATGTCAATTATTGGGTGAGAATATGGAGTAAAAAAATAGTCTAGAAGAGGGCTAATAAACTTTTTAAAACAAATTCAACTGATTTTCTATAAATGGATTGTTGGAGGTTTTCAGAGTTTGCGCGCGAAATATTTAGAGTGAAAATATGAGAATTATACTTGTATATAAATAGTTGTATGTAAGCACATAATTACTTCACAAATATCACAATTGAACTAATTCAGGTGTATACTTCACGGGGTGTATTTATACAAAGATTCAATTTTTCAAATTCTAAACTCAACAAGTTTCTCAGATATTAATAATTGCTAAAGCTCGATTAGGTATCAATTCCAACAAAACCTAAGCATGCAATATCCTACTAAAATTAAATGCGAGAGTAAAAGAGAGAGAGATCACACACTAGAATTTATAGCTCTTCGTTATTCGTCCTCGTTTTGCCTACATTCACTCTTCAATGGTTTCCCATTGGAACCTGCATAGCTCTATTTTATTTTGATAAATTTTACAAGAGTTCATACAATCACTAGTCCACGATAATGCTGAAGAAAATAAATATGCTATTTGGATCTTGACTTGTATACAACTTAATGTCAAACTCTTATGCACAATCTTTACTCGATTAATGTTTCTAAATCTTCCAATATCACCAATATGCTCCAAGCCTTTGTGTGCACCAATCAACCCCTTGATTCAACTGATTCCTTAGGCGATTAATTGTCTGAAGATTTGAGAAGAACTCTGTATTATCCGTAACCTTCCACACATTCACTACCAAGGCAATATGGAGATAAGAACCTCCTTATTATCACATGAGTTTTTAAGCACCAATGACAATTTCTCAATATTGCAAGAACCTAAAAATATTTATCAAATCTTCAAGAATGATTAATTTCAAGACAACATCTCCCTCAATTAATCATAAATCTTTCATTATCAATATCTGAAATCAAAACAAAGGTTAGAGAAGAAAGAAATTTGAATGCAAGGGTTTTGAAATTTTTCAAAGTTAGAGAGAGAGTTGATTTCATTGAAAATGAAAAAATTATTATGAGATTCATTACATGAAAAATGCTAGCAAAAGTTGGTTAGATTCGAATCAAGAACAATACATGGTTTGAGTCAAATGAGCAAGTGAAGTGAAATAAAAAGAAATCAGATTTTGACGCACTTCACATTAGATTTGAATCAAGAACAATGTCTGATACGAATTAAAGACCCTGATATTTGAAACATGTGCATATTCTGATTCAAATCAACTGCAACATGCCCTAATGAAAAATGCTGAAAAATGGTATGATTTGAATTAGGTGTAAAGTCTGATTCGAATTAGGTGTAAAATATGATTCGAATAAAATCAACCAAAGGTGACCATAAGGAGCTTGATTTGAATCAATTGTAAACTTTGATTTGAATCAAATTATTAAAAGTCACTGGTTTGCCTCTGTTCAATTTGATTTGAATCAAAATGTGTGTTTGATCTGTTTGATTTGAAGCAAACATACAAAATCTCAATTTTACATTGTTTTAAATGTACTTTGAGATTTTCCTTTGTGCCTAACTAGAATAAAAAATACATTTTTTATTCTACTGACTCATGTAATTGACTAAAAGAATCATGATTAAGTTCAAATATAAATGTGGGTTTATGCATGCTAAAACAAAAAACGAATCGATTCAACGTTAATTCAAAAGATTCGCAATCATGAGAGAGACTCAATAAAAGATAATAAATGAAAGGAATAAGACAAGCAACAAAATAATATTATTATGGATGCTCTTCCTTCATGTGTTAAGGACATGCAACAATTTCCCCTAGAGATATGCAGCTTCAGCAAGTACTAAAATGTTTATTTCTTTGTGATAATGTAAGGTAACAACGAGTCTGGGGTACGACCGAAGGGATCGATGCCCCAACACAAAGACTCGGGAGTGCTCTTACAAACTCCATTTGCATTCGACCACAACAATCAAAACCCCTAACATGAAGCACATACACAAATAAAGTGGAAAAATTACTAAAATAACAATAACAATCTATCATCTTCTGAAAGCTAGCACTATTACAAATAATACATTTCATGACAAAACTTTCACCTCAGCCAACAAAAAAATTGAGGTATAATGTCAAGGCGCGCCATTTAAAAAAAATACCACATATTCCCTCGGTTTCTGATTATAACCGAGGGGAAAAATAATTCAGGACATGCTTCGAATCCCAACAAATACAGTTTATGCTTTTATTTCTTTAAAAGTGGTGTATTTCTTTTTATTTTATTTTTATTTGTAAATTAAATGATCTATTCCTTTGGTTTCTATAATAAACAAGGGGTTAAATACTCATATTTTACTATAAGAATACTCATTAAACAGATTTTACCCTAAACATAACTTATATGTAGCCGCTCCAAATTTGTACGCATTATTATTTGAGATGGACTGCAAGACAAAAAATCTTCACCGTTTTGTGTTCTTCTATCTTAAACAAAATATTTTTTTCACTCTTGCCATCTATCTCATATAATGGCGTTGATGTTATTGTTGTATATTTGGAATAATTTTCCTATGTTGTCAATCAAAGAAAACAATATTGCTTTCCTTGGCTTATAACATTGGGAAATTTATTCATAAACATGTTGTATATTGCAAGCAATTGCAACACAAAAAAATGGTGAATGATAAAAAATTGAAATGGAAATATGACATGTTGTTACTTTCAATATTTTATCATTCACCATTTTTTGCAAGTAATATAATACCTCAGTTTTGTTTTGTAATAAAATCGAGGGGTTTTCTTATTTTTTATTTTTATTTTTTTAATTAAAAAAGAAAAAAATTTCCCTCGATTTTAAAACAAAACTAGGGGATTTTGTTACACAACTACAACAATGAATTTATGTCCTACATTCATAAAGTAACAACGCTCAAGATATTGCCAAGACATTAATCCACAATGAATCTATGTCCTACATACATCACTATATATCTTGTTCTCTTTCTTGTGAAAATATTTGCCATGAAAATACTTGCTCAGGATAATGAAATCTTGGAACTTAAAAAAGCTTGAAAAAGTTCTATGAAATGGATTGCAAGTTCAAAAAAAACATTTTTCAATGGTTGGAACATATAACTTATTAGAAGTTGAATGCATGCAATCCATTGAACTTTTAAAAAATGCGCACAAAGGGTATGCAACAAAATCTGGATAACAACAAAGATTTATTATTCTCTAAGAATAACAGCGACAATGATGTATCAGATTTGTTGTAAACAATGTAATTTAATATTCTGTGTAAACAATGTAATTAAAAAAAAAAAACTTATTCCCCTCGGTTTTTAACAAAAACCAAGAGGAATATGGCACTTGGGATGGAAGATATTTCATTGTATTTTTTATTTAAAATGAAACACATTTTATCTCAATTTTGACTCATAACTGAAGGGATATATTAAGCATGTTTATTGAGTTTCCTCATCGTCCTTAAACACATTTTTGTCGTCTATTTAATTAGTATTAACAATCAAGACCAATTATTAACAAAAACCAAGAGGAATATGACACTAGTTTTGAAAACATAAAAAAAATTATTGTTGGGGATCGAACCCATGACCATTTCAACTGTATCATTGGTTATTCAAAAAATTAAAGGTTAAGTGGGAAATTATTATGACGCCCTTGTTACCTCGTCTCTGTAACCGAGGTTAAATCAATTTCGTATCAGAGGTTAAATGAGTGTTTATAGTAATGTAGCCATTACAGAGCCCGCAATGAATTAGTCACACGTCGACCACTAAAAAATATTGATAGTATATTTCACTATTATGCAACAAAGATTCCAATCGAGATGGAAGTGACAATTGTGAGAATGACCAATGATATTTTAAAAATGTTGAAACGTCCTCAATCATTTATTGATGATGAAATATCATGTTAGATTTAGATTAACAAAGATTTATGCATGTTACGTATATTGTGTATGTGATAACGAATATTTATGTTAAGTTATGTTTTTCTTGCTTCTAGTTTTGTGATAACATGATATAATCTAGATTTCAATATTTCAGACAAACCCCTGATCATTATTGCATGTTGGATGGCAAATGAGTTTATGATATCAATGAATAATATCGATTTTTAAATCCAAAAAACTCTTGAACATCAAGAGGGATTGAGAGATTAACTTTGAATGTGATATAATAAACGCGTCCGAAATCCATAACTCAAACATATTTTTTACTTTTAATATAACGTATTTAAGAGAGTACAGGATATTCAAATTTTAATATTGAAAATCTAAAACTATTTTTGGAATTTCGGTGAAATATGTGATTAAGACATAAGTGTAGGAATCATTCCACTAGTTATATTTAATATTTAAATTAGTAACAGAAAAAGATGTTAGTACATTTTAAAAGTAGTCTTGACCTTTTCTTTTGGTCTCTTTGTTGAAGTTTCACATAGTTGGCAACTTGGCATTACTTGAATTATTGAATAACTACAAATCAAGACGACTTGTGGGGAAGACTTGGCCATGTTTTAACTGAGATAATAATATCAACTACCGAAGCGTGTGTATACATCATTACTTCGTCCTTCATTCTTTCACAACAAACAATTCCATAGAAGAAAGAGTACTGTACCATGCTTTCTTCGCGTTGCCTTCTGTTTTTACTTCTTCCTCTGTTTTTTACAATAAACTCTGATGCCAACGACCAACTAATTTTCCGCAACCACAAGTGTAACAATGATCTCGGAAACTTTACAGGTGATAGTGCCTACCCAAACAACCGTGACACCGTTCTAGGAAAAATATATTCCGACAGAGAAATAGACTATGGATTCTACAATTTCTCATACGGCGAAGAACCTGACATAGTAAATGCAATCGGATTCTGCAGAGGAGACGTTAATCCAAATGACTGTCGTGACTGCTTGAAATCCTCCGCAGTACTTCTCACAGAACGGTGTCCAATACAGAAAGAGGCAATTGGTTACTACGACTTGTGCACCTTGCGCTATTCTAACGCTTCAATTTTCGGTGTCATGAATACTAATGGTTATGTTTACAATAGCGGAAAAAAGGCAGTGGTGGATGATGCATTTAATCAAACACTTAGTGGCTTGTTGGATGAACTTAAAAGCGCTGGGGCGGAAGGTGATTCGCGTAAGAAGTTTGCTGAAAAGAGTGTTAAAGTAATTGAATCAAATAGTAGTAATAATGATACTATATATGGTCTGGTTCAGTGTACACCAGATTTGACAAAACAAAATTGTACTACATGTTTGGATTTGGCTTTCGATGATCTTTCATTTTGGTGTAAAGAAATGAAAGGGTGTTTGTATCTTGGACCAAGTTGTTCGGTTAGATATGATATAGTTCAGTTTTATCAGTCTATAGTTAACAATACAGAGTCACCAGCACCACAACCTTCTTCCCAAGCAATTTCTCCTAAAGCTTCATCAGGCAACTCTACCACCAACCCTTCTAATACTAAAGGTACACATTTTACGTGAATTTTATCTTTATGCTGAATAATCTATCAGACATGAGAAAATATATTTCTTATTTCTTGATTAGGAAAGAAGAGGGTATTACGAACGGCCATCGCTATCGTTTTAGCATTGGTTGTAGCTGCCATACTAGTTGTTGGTGGATGTATTTATTGTGAAAGGAGAAAGCCAAAACCCCAATATACTGCTGAAATTCAAGGTACGTAAACATCTTAAGTCGTCTCTTAAGAAATTTAAGCAAATATTGTGATTTATGAGCAAGTTTTACTTGGGTAAGGCACAAACACAATTTATAAGTGTTAGAGTTCACACAAGACAATCCGGATCCTCTCTTGTTCTGTGTCTCTTTCTCTCCAATCTCGATTATGCTTTAATCTAGGTCTTTGACAAGGGAGAAAAAAGTAAAACAAAATAAAACCGTAAGATTTAAAATGTGTTTTTTAGTTGTTTGTTCTCATTGTAAAGTGACAGTGGATTCTTTGCCACATGATCTCTCTCCTAAAAAACATTATCTTCTACATTATAATAGAGAAAAATTGAGAAAAAGAAAGATGATGATTAAAGGAAAGAAAACAATAAAGAAAGAAAAATAGAATAATAATGTGGGATATACAACGTGGGGTTGTTCTGTCGGAGATGATAAAATGCTAATAAAATGAATAATAATCTTGTATTGAAAAAAGTTGACCTATCTAAATATCATTGATTGTGTTAGAACATCAATTCGAAAAGAAAAAAAAAAGACAAATAATGAAATATTTGTGAAAACAGATGCAGTCCAAGAGACATATGAAGATGAAGATGAAGTTAAAGCTGGCAATGATCTTAAAGTTGGTGATTTGTTGCAATTTGACTTTGAAACCATCAAATTAGCTACAGGAAACTTTTCTGATGCAAGTGCACTTGGTCAAGGAGGATTTGGAACTGTTTATAAGGTAAATAGCTATCCATTTTTTTATTGAAAAACATGCATATATCAAGAAATTTTCTTAATCTATATACACTAAAAGTTACGATTAATTTTAGGGTACACTCGATGGACTTGATGTTGCTATCAAAAGGTTGGCTAACAATTCTAAGCAAGGAGAAACAGAATTCAAGAATGAAGTATTACTTACGGGGAAGCTTCAACATCGAAATTTAGTTAAACTACTAGGTTTTTGTTTACATAGAGGAGAAAGACTGCTAATATACGAGTTCGTCCCCAACAAAAGTCTCGACTATATCATATTTGGTAAATTACTATATTTTCTCCGACCTTATCTTGAAGTATTATATCTATAATTTTGGTTTGGATGATTATGTAGATTCAATCAAACGTGCGAATTTAAATTGGGAAAGACGCCTCAAAATCATTAAAGATATTGCTCGCGGTCTTCTCTATCTCCACGAAGATTCTCGACTACAAATTATTCACCGTGATCTCAAAACAAGTAATATTCTACTTGATTATGAAATGAATCCAAAAATTACAGATTTTGGCATTGCAAAGTTGTTTGCCCCCAATCAAACCCATGGCATGACAAGTACGGTTATTGGAACTTAGTAAGTTATTAAGAAAATGCTTGACGATATATTTTTCAATTTTCAAATAAGTATTTCTTTTTTATTTAGTAATCAAACATCATTGTTTTGATATATATAGTGGATATATGGCTCCAGAATATATCAAACATGGAGAATTCTCAATCAAATCAGATGTATTTAGTTTTGGTGTAATTGTTTTGGAAATTATCTACGGTCGGAGAAACACTAAGTTTCGTGACGGGGAGAATATAAAAGATCTATTAGATAATGTAAGTTTCACAACTTTTAACTAGCCTAAAATTTTGATTGTAAATATAATTTTTTTTAAATGAAAAAATTCTGGCAGGCATGGGAAAACTGGAAGACAGGGACAAGTTTGGATATTGTAGATCCAATGTTAGAGCAAGATTTAAATAAGGATGAAAAAAAGAGATGCATCCATGTTGGATTACTCTGTGTTCAAGAAGATATAGATGTGAGACCAACTATGAGTTCTGTTTTACTAATGCTTAGTAGCACATCTTATCCACTCCCTGAACCTTCAGAACCTCCATTTTTAATGCAACCCAAAAGGGCATTATCTATATCATTAAGTGATTATTCAGGTCTCACAAAGTCAAGTGATTCTGGGTCAGGAAGTCAATTTACTCAAGGATCAACAACTAAGTCCTCAGTGACAGATCAATAATGCATGATGATGAATGAAGTGATTGTGAATTATTTTTCAAATTCTGTAACATAATGTGTTTACTGATATTTTGTTTAATTTATTTTTTGTTTGGTGTTTGTTTTAGTTGCTTTGTGATTGTACTAAAACTCCAGTTACTAACTGTTTTATATACCTTTGCTACATAATTTTGTCATTTAGTTTTAATCTCAGTTATTGGATGAATTTTTGTCACAAACAATGGTTTTTACAAACTGTAATATTAACTGTACAATAAAGATCTAATGGACTACAATAATAACTGTGAAGTTATGTTTTTTTATTCAGTGTAGCAAATCTTGATCCAACAATTTATAAATTAATTTTTAGAATTTTTTATGAAAAAAAAGTTACTATTAAATAGAGGCATGGAAAAAAACAGAAGCATATGAATTTGGTTTTTTTTTACTTCTTGACTTCTTCTATATATAATTTTAATTTATATTTAATTTGTTAAAATTATTTTATTCAATTTTAAAAGAATAAAATTTAATTATTTTATAAAATAAGAAAATAATTATATTGTAAGTAAAAAAGTTAATAAAATAAGATTCTTTAATAATATAAAAAAAATTCTTAATATGATAAATGATTGGGTTGGGTGAAATTAAACACGGATGGAGCATTAGGATGTGGAAATATAGTTGTTTGTGGAGGAATTATTAGAGATGATCGTGACGGTTGTAAGGGTAAATTTTCGAAGTTTTTAGGTAACTACAACATCATCAAATCTGAGTTATGGAGCATCTTTGCAGGACTCTCTTGCGAAGGATTTAGGATGTAACAAAGTTGAGGTGAATGTGAATTCCACCAAAGTCATTGGCATGATAACTTTAGGCACAGAAATGGACATGGATAGCTACTCTCTAGTAAACAAATTAAGGATTTGACGAAATTGTTTGAATATATTAAGTTGGTTCACAACTTTAGAGAAACTAACTGGTGCGCGGATGCTCTTACCAAGTTTGGAGCCATTAGTGGAAATTTCTTGAATTTTGAAGATGACATCCCTATGTTTATTAAGCATTTAGTAGCATTTGATGCTTCAGACAACTCTATTGTTAGGAGAATCGTTATGTAATTTCTTTTTGGGCGCTTCGTCCTCAATCTTACAATATATATATATATATATATATATATATATATATATATATATATATATATATATATATATATATATATATATATATATATATATATATATATATAAAAGAAGGAAATTACTTTTCTAATCTAATTTCATGAAATATATTTTTGATCAAATGTTGTGACTCATATTATTTCATTATAAATAGGATATGTAACCTCATTCTTCACTAAAGATCTCTATATTCTTTGTTGTATGATATATATATATATATATATATATATATATATATATATATATATATATATATATATATATATATATATATATATATATATATATATATATATATATATATATATATATATATATATATATATATATATATATATATATATATATATATATATATATATATATATATATATATATATATATATATATATATATATATATATATATATATATATATATATATATATATATATATATAGTGTGTGCGGTACTTTTAGTGATTAGAGAAAGAGAGAATAATAAATGAAATAATGATTATATTATTCACTTGAATTGTATTGTACAACATAAGGATATACACTATGATTATTATATACAATTCTAATTAGGCTTGAGCTTACACAATTTGGATTATATTTAAATATTATATCTAATCAAATCAAATCTAATATTTTAACATATCCCTCATAATCCAAGTTGTCGGACCTACCCTAATCATAATCGATCTGAATTATTCTTAATTTCTTTCTCAAATTGAGAAATTTGTCGATCTTCAATCATTTGGTGAAAATGTCGGCCAACTGTGCTTCACTTGAGCAATATTTAACTTCAAGTTCACCTCGATTTACCTTTTCCCTCAAGAAGTGAAACATAACTTCGATATGTTTACTTCTTCCATGCAAAACTGGATTCTTCGCCAAATTTATGGCTAACTTGTTATCGATTTGCAACACTGGAGGTTTCTTCACTTCGACCTCCATTTCTTCAAATACAAATCTGATCCAAATTGCTTGACATGCAACATAGGATCCTGCTATATATTCAGCTTCACACGATGAAAATGCCACGACCGGTTGCTTCTTCGAACACCATGATATTGGGGCACTAAATACTTGAAAAAAATATCCAATTGTGCTTCTTCGATCTTCCTTATCTCCACATCAATCAACATCTGAAAAACAAGTAATTGTTGCTTCTTTGCCTTCATAATCTCATCGAAATAGAATTATATAATTTATCGATCGTTTTAAGCATCTTAGAATTATTCTTGCAACCTTCATGTGTGACACTCTTGGTTCACCCATGAATCTGCTCACTAATCCGACTATAAAACCTATATCAGGTCAACTGTTGCACACATACCTCAGAGATCCCACGATTTGCTTGAATAAAGTTACATCGACTTTGTCTTCCTCTTCACTCTTCTCCAACTTCACATTTGGTTCGACATGTGAGGATGCAAGATTCGAATCATCCATTATGAATCTCTTGAGTATCTCTTTGACATACTTCCTTTGATGTAGCACCATACCTCGCTTCAAAATTTGAAATTCCATGTCTAGGAAATAAGACAATTTTTCCAGATCCGACATTTTAAATTCCTTCACCATTAGCTCATTGAATTTCGAAAAGTTCTCCAAGCTATTTCCAGTTACCAGCAAGTCATCGACATACAAGTAGATGATTGTTATATCTTGTGCTACAACTTGAACATAGACACCATACTCTAATTTGCATTTGACAAATTCTAATTCGACTAATTATGAGTCGATTTTCTTGTTCCATGCCCTAGGTGCTTACTTGAGGCCATATAACACTTTGTGCAACTTATATAATTTACTCACTTCCTTCTAAATCACAAACCCCGGCGGTTGTGTGACATAGACCTCTTCGTCTAAAGGATCATTCAGAAATGCTGATTTCATATCTAAATGAAATTTCGACCAGCCTCAGTTGTATGCCAATGCTACCACTTGTCAAACTCGTTGAAGAAACCCTCGAGCTACTAATCTTGCTTTATGTCTTTCTATCGACCCATCATCATTGTATTTCAACTTGAACACCCACTTCACTTTGATTGCTTTTGTATGTGCTGGCAATTTGACTAAATCCCATTATTGTTTCTTTCAATTTCCTGTAACTCTTAGACCATATATAACTTCCATTGTTTAATCTTTAAAGCTTCTTATGGTTTATTGGTCCAACACCTGCAAGTAAAGAAAAATGAACTAATTCTCTATCTGGCGTGACTTCATCATCACCTATCACTTCATAATCATGATGTCTTGTTGGAAGAACTCTATTTCTTTGAGGTCTTTGGCTTGTTCCAGCCATAACCTCTTCGACTTTGACTATTTCTGGAATGTCACCAACTGCTTCGACTTCGATTGGAATATTAGCAATTTCTTCGACTTTGATTTCATCAGTTTCTTCATCGAAACCATAGCTCATCAATGACTTGTTAATTGCATCATTAGAATTCTAATCCCAGGAAGAATTTTCATCAATAACAATGTCCCGACTCAACACAATCTTCTCATTAACTGGATTGAATGGCCTGTATGAACCAGTTTTATGATATCCTAACATAATCATAGGTTCACTCTTGTCATCAAGCTTTCTTCTTCTCGCATCAGGAACATGCTTGTAACACATAGAGCCAAACACCTTCAGATGACTCACTGATGGTCGTTTTCCACTCCATACTTCTTCGAGAACCTTGTTCTTCAATATCTTGGTAGGGCACATGTTCAAAATATAAACTGTAGTCGAAACAGCTTCACCCTGTAAGGATTTTGGTAAATTCTTTTGCTTCATCATGCATCTCTCCATATCCAATATGGTTTTGTTTCTTCTTTAAGCAATTCCATTATGTTGAGGTGTATAAGGAGAAGTTACCTTATGATCAGCACCATGTTCTGCACAGAAATCTTCAAACATCTTGGATGTGTATTCACCACCTCCATTTGTTCGTAGAACTTTGATCCTTTTATCACTCTGGTTTTTTACAAGTATCTTGAATCACTTAAAGATTTCAAATAATTTTTCCTTTCTCTTGATCACATAAATCCAGAACTTTCGACTAAACTTATCAACAAACGAAACAAAATAAATGTTTCCACCAATGGTATATTCTTTGAATGGACCACATACATCTGAATGTACCACTACGAGTATGCATGATGATCTCATTGGCATAGTCGAAACAAAAGAGTTTATGGATTAATTTCTGACTAAATAACCTTCACAGAGTTTGTCAGACATATTAAGACTTGGGATACCAGATACCATATCTTGAGTAATCAGTTGATTAAGTGATCAAAAGTTCAAATGTCCAAACCTCAAATGCCACAACCAACAATCCTTGTGGTCGACAACAGTTTTTTGACATTGTACTTAAGTCGAACTGATCATAGTCTTAAACTTCCTGTTCTTCGATAGAGGAGATTTTAAGACCAAATTGTGAAGGTGTGCAGAAAATGCAAGAAATTGGGAGTTTGAATTGGGTTTTCCTTTCTTAACAAACTTTTAATTCTTAACATTGTTGTGTTGAGTGATGCTTTTGAATGTGTTGTAGAAGCATAAATAATTAAGCATAAGCAGAAGTAAGGAATACGTGATATATCCTGGTTCACTTGAGAAACCCTCAAGCTAGTCCAGTCCATCCTACCAAGGTGATTTCGCCTTGAACTTAAGGACTTAATCCACTATAACCAAATTGATTACAATATGCATGGGCAACCACCGGTGACTAACATCCAATGACACGTTCAGGGATCCAAACTAGATATAACATTCATTGACCCAACAAAATTCGACTCTTTAGAATCTCCTATCAGAATTTCCCATAATGACCGTAGCCATTATCTTCTTGAGATCA